TTTCCCTAATATTAGCACATTATCAAAGTTAGCACGTGAAAGACAAAAAATACAAGTCTGACAATATTAATGCCCAGCTCATTTGTGAAGACCTAAAAAGTGCTTTAGGATCTTCCACATCTGTAAAGAAAACTATTATTCTGGAAATCAGTGACCAATTGTATTAAAGAGTTTTAAATTTTTCCTCCCCATTTTTAATTTAAACTGCTTCAAGGTAGGCTTCAGAAGCCACCACAGAAGCTTTAATAATTCCTGCACTAGAATATTGTGGAGGAATATTAGTTTAGGAGATGGGAAGCAGAATTTAAAAGCCACTCAGTACTGAATGGAAGTTTCAGGCAGTCCGGTGGCTTGAATCAATCAATCCCACCTCTAGAAATGCTCAGCTCATACCAAATGAAATCGAACCACAGATACTCACATCTTATTTTATATACTAGTACAGATCCTTCCTCAACTCTTACCTCAAGAACTATCACTGCTTTATTTTAGACGAACCTTAAATTCAATTGTGAAATTGATTTGCTTACAAACAGAGAACTTCATGCTTTTCAGACTTTTTAATGTTACCCTAGGTAACTTCAAATTGTTTCCACACATCCTGTTTCCAAAATGCCAAGAGGAAACACATATAACCAGTAACAGTTATTTTAAGGCACAAATGGAGGTCAGCAGCACTCCTCACAGTATAACGTTTCAGAGAGAAGTGTTTAATTACACAGTATTGCTAAGTCACAGCTATCATGCGTAGGACACGTGCTGATGCTGGGCATGACAACATTATTTCATCCTGTCTGCAATCAAACAAGAAAAATCACTGTAGTTGTGCAATCTTATGACAAGCATATGCCTAGAATAACAGCACGCACTCTGCAACTACTACTCCATTCCTATTAGAGGATTGTAGCTTGTTATTTGTGAGCATTAATGGCATCTAGACACAGTATTTAAATATCTCTTGGGAAGTGTTAAAAATGCTAGGAACGTTGCTGTGGCAGCAGACATTCTATTTAGTAAATGAAATCTGAAGTATTCTGTTGCATTAGTTAAGCATTCCACTATATTTATAATACTCACAATTTTCTTTTTGCAGAAAACCATCACCATCTACAGTACAGATAACAACAGAAGAACAGAGAGCTTGCATTCTATTAAGAATCCTTCAGGAAGCTGTAAGTTTGAATGTTAACATAGTCAGTTAACACTGTTCTGAATAACTCTCTTAGAAGTGGAAAGCAGAGCACCCTTTATACTTTGAAGTTGCTCAATTCTATTGCTTGAGCTCACAAAAAAAGAACATCAAGAAATCTTGTAAATTGCAAGGTACATATTATATATAAATGGATAAAAATACAGCTCTAATTCACATTTACAAAGTATCTGCTTTTGTTCCTTGAACAGTAACAATACAACATATTTTGTTGAGAATTATTTTATTTGGATTATAGCAATTAGTATCACTGACCAGTAGGCCAAATCCAGGCAGAGAGCACAGAATCAGTTTCACAAGGCAAAAACACCTACTAGTATTTTAGCATACAAACCATTTCACTGCATTATCAAGTAGAAATATCTTCCAAACATGCATAAAAAGCCTATGCTTAATCTTTCAGAGCTCCAGGAAATACCAGATTCCTAAATATACAAAAAATACATTTAACTTATAATAATCTTAGTGAATCAGACTTATAAAATTACAATTTTATTCTTCACAACATAGAAAAAAATACAAAAATGACTGTATATAGTTTTCACCTAAGTTTCACTGACATAAATATACATCAAAATGTATGATTTGATGTATACTCATGAAACTTTGAAGCTGAAAGATAGGTTTTAAGATGACATTGCAGATTGGTCCACACAAATGCCAACCTTTCTACTGATAAATTAAAAAATCCCACCTTTGATAGAAACATCACATTGTGAAAAATTACAATTTACCTGCACTGCAACCTGCGTCTTACTGTAATTTACAATATGAACATTTCTACAATTCCAGTTGTAAACTATACACTGGTAAGCACATTGGTCTTTTAGAAGGTAATAACTAATTTGGACAAAGCCAGCATGGTAGAACATAAAGTATTGTTGACTGAACCAATGCACACAACACAAAGACTACCAAAGCAGAAAACAGGTCTGCTGCAGAAGTCTGGTGATGCTGATGGAAAACATGCAAGCCAAATAAATACCTTTTGGGAAAACAACACTCTAGGTTTGCAACAAAGAGTATTAAGTAAAATTTCTATTATAAAGTTCACATAAACCACATTACAATTTCAGTGACAGATGAGGGGAAATCTGTTATTTCTTTTCTGAGGAGATAAAAACCTGTACGTGTGACTGAATTCAGTATCAGGGAAAAACTCAAACAGCATTAGGGCACTGCACACTGTTCTTACTCAAGATCACTTTCCAGTGGTTTACACAAAAGCTAAACTTGAAAAAGCACTGCAAGCTAAAGTGCTGGGATTCTTGTACATACTACCTGCATGTTCACACTTCATAACATTTTGAAATCGACTCTGCTGACATGATTTCTTAGAATCAAAGCAATTTCTTTTTCTTCTAAAAGAAAAAGTAACCCTATTTTCTTTTAAAAGGCTGTAGTTTACTTGCATTTGTGTGGTAAATTAGTATGTCCAATTAAAGTAAATATTCCATAATAAAGCTTATTCAGTAAAGACATTAGTTGTACAAGCCTTCTCCCTGCTGGCAGCTGTCTCAGCTTTTCTGTAAAGCCAGTGCTAGCTAATACAGATCTGTACTGTATCCTCATCAACAGGGCTATGAGCTTATTACAGATAAGATTATTACACAGATGTATTTTTTTCTGCAAATTGGGCCAACAAATTTGAAACCAAATCTTTTATTTGGGCACAGAAATCAAATCAAGAAAAGTTCAGGAGCTGAGCATCAACAATAACCATTAATGTCAGTACATCAGGGAATCAGATTTTTCAGATTACATCCTTCAGAAATACTGACACTAACTACATTTCCTTTTGCCTTTGCTTGGGTATCTGTTCACTTCCCTGCTCTCTTTGCCCCTTCCATTCCTCTGCCAATCCCAATCAACAGCTGGCTCATAACTTGGGCACTGCTCACACAGCATTAGCGCATTCCACCTCCTCACAAGTTTTTCTCAGTTCTTTCATCTTCCCTATTACCTTCCCAAGGGAAGGCTTAGCCTGAGAATCCAGTGAAACCACCTAGGAAAACTGAACTTTCTACAGTCTCCTGTTCTTTCAGAAGAGCAGAAGAGAGAAGGCTTGTCCCATCTGTAAAAGCAGCATGTAACTCATGAGATAATTGGCTTTCAAAATAGGAGCTTATGACTTTGCAACGTTGCAGAAGCTGAGTGCCTGAAACTGCTTGCTTGGATGTGCCAAAGTGATATGTACTAGTCACTTCAGAAAAATCAGGTTGAGGAACAAGCCCCTCACATTATTCCACAATAGTCAAAACAGTCCTCAACACTGAAAGATGAGCACCACTGAGACAGTGGACGGTGATTAGAGATGATAATTTAAAGTAAAAAAGGGAAAACTGCACCTGTTTCTGGGAGACCTGCCTCATTACATCATTTAGAATCATTACTGATTACCAGTAGAAGTACTACAGTTAGTATCACTATTTCTTAAAAATATTTAATAAAGTATCCAGGGATGCTGTACTTAGAGGAGTTTTAATATTTGAGATAAGCATTATAGCCTCTGAATTAACATTAGCACTTGAGTAATCAGCTTAAACAAGATCTTCAGAGAACCCAGTGGTCAGACACCCTACTGTTTAAATTCCTAAAGAACCACATTCCCCTCATTTCCCATAACTGGTTTCCTATTACTGTTCCCATCACCTTTTAAACACACCACCTACCTTCCTAAATTCAAATACTTTGCCTGGATTACATTGCCCACTGGAGTCTCTGACAAAACCCTAAAGTATTCCAGAGCATATTGTTTGCTTTCATAGCAATACATAGTTTCTGGCATGCAGTCAAGCACTTAAAAAAAATGTATCAGTAATATAATCCCAATTCAAGCATTTAGTGGGTACAACTTTATCACTCCTACTGCAACCTTCAGGCATTTAGTAATAAATGAAAACCACTTAGCACATCATTTAAGGAAAAGGCTAACTGCCAAGCCATATAAAGTCTAAGTTTTCCAAAGCACTGCAAGCTGAAAATTATTTCAGTGTTTTATATTAATGGAATTTCAGTGACATCGGATTTATTGGTTATTCTTGCTAAATTATTGGTCTTTTACCTCTGACTTATTTTATCCTGGTATGTTCTTTATAAATGTGCTGGGTATTGAAAATCTGCAGCATTTTGATGTTTGAAAAGTTCTGAAAAAAGCTGAAATTACTCCGACTTCTTGTGTTCTTCAGTGTGGGAGAGCACCTTTCGCCTCTGACGTAGCATATGAAAATACAGCTGAGGGAAGACTGAAGAGAAAACAGATTAAAGTGAATAAAGCACAAAGTGAGGCTTCCGTGTCAACATAAGATGCACAGCCACGTGCTCAAGGCCACCAGTTCACTATTAAAAGAAAATACGCTTATCCCAGTCAAGTCATCTATTGCTTTGTATTCTTTAAAAAGCATAACTAATACTGTTCTTAGGCTTTGGGTACTATTTATTTTTTTGCTACAGCCATCACATTTTTAATTAAATGCAAAATGCTATATTTAACTCTGCATGTACAAGCAGAATGACAAAAATTTCCTGAATTGCACACACCCAATAGAAAGAAAACACATTGTAGGGAGGAAAAATCCGTTCAGAAATAATGACGTTTCCAGACACAGGAAGTTCTACCTCAACATGAGGAAAAACTTCTTTATTGTGAGTGTGACAGAGCACTGGAACAGGCTGCCCAAAGAAGTTATGGAGTCTCCTTCTTTGGAGACTTTCAAGACCCATCTGGATGCATTTCTGAGTGACCTGCCCTAGACTGTGTGGTGGTCCTGCTCTGGCAGGTTGGATTTGATGATCTCCAGAGGTCCCTTCCAACCCCTAACATTCTGTGATAACTTATAACTCTAGTGTCATTTTTTTGGGATCCTTATACTATCTGGTTCCACTTTCATCTCCTCTCTCTTTATCCTCCATGAAAAACTTTTTCTGGTCCTATTTCTAAGACTACATTACACAGTATTTTTTGCAGAAAAAATAGGGGATGGAGGAGGTTCATAAATAAACAGCAAAAGCCAAAATTGCCACGAGATATTGAACCTCTGTGAACCATATGAAAATTAAACAAGGTCAACATCAGTCAAAATCATATAACTTACAAATGCAAAGTGTCCATCATAAACATAGGCCAAAGTCTATTTAATGTGTGTACTATTTTTTTTTTCAAGTGAACATTTTTTCCTTCTGCTTCTTTTACCCTGTGTTTCACTTCCTGATTGTTTCCCCACCATCCTAATGCACTCCACCAGTCCTGAGGAGTGAGTACAGCTGTCCAGAGACATAACAGAATAGGGATGTGGTTTGTCCATTAGAAGCCTAAGTATTTGGGATCTATTTTATGCAAAGAATTTAATGACATCTTTTCTAGAAAGATGTCAGTTTTAACTGACAAGTACTATATTAGACATTTAAAGTGAGGTAAATGGTAAGGCACAACTATCAAGAATGTAAAAACTCCACTTCTAACAACAGTTTTCAAAGCTTCCTTTCCTTGAGATGCTAACATTTCCAAAATTTCCAAGATTTTCAGAGGGTTCAGAAGGTTTAACTCCTGTATAGGCATCTTTTGTGTATGAACAACTGAGCCACGGTGCAATAAATGACTGCAATGAATGTTGCTTTTCTTCTACCTGCAGTTTGAACTCTTTTCTCTTTAGATAATTTTCAAAATTAACTTTGTGAAATTAGTCAAGTTTATGTTATGCTAATCCCACAATTATTATTTTTTCCTATTACAGCTTTTATTCTTAAAAAAACCCCAAGCTACTAACAAACTCATACTTACTTGGAATGTAAGAGATCATAACCAGGATCAGGAACGTATAGTAGTCAAAAGAAAAATTGTACTTGTTAGGTAAACTAATGGAATACAAGCCAGACTGCCTGACAAAGGGTAATGCAGCATATATTGTCAGTAATTCACCTGAGACTCCCATTGGATACAATACTATAAACAAAGTGTACCTAGGAAAAAAAACATGAACAGAAAAGATTAAAAGTTGTGACAAACTCTGACCAAATATCTATTAACATTCAAATTCTAAATTCTCAACTCAGCATTTATTTCCTTTAGCTCTTACGTGATTTGAGCATGGCAAGGTGTGAACATTATTGTAAGATAAGTATTCAAATCAGCAGTTTGAATTATTGTTAATATGATAAACTATTAAAGATTACCTTTGAGAATCTGGAAACTGTCCTCAAAACTATTCTTCCCCACCCCATACTTTGTTACTTTGATTTCTGAACTCTTTGGTAGAGGTTATTACAATACTTAAAATGGGGTCAAACACAGTTGATAATAATCGATGAGCTTACACATTGTTTCAAGTACACCACTTGGATTCAAGGGTTACTGTTAAATGTCAGTTTACTTCCTGTTACCCCTTGCTATTAGATGTCAGTTTCTGATAAACACAAATACTTTGTAAATAACACTGAGTTCTGACAAGCTACTCTTTCAGCTTACAGTGCAACAATGTAACTTTTTAACCTAGAAATCTGCTAGAAAGACGCTAGGAAATCACATTCACAAACAGGGGGACTACCTTAAGGTAGAACTTTTCCTGTTCTGCAACTATTTTACAACATCAATATTCCTGTTGAGTTAGTGCTTTAGGGCTACGATTTCCATTAAGCCACCTTACCTGGCCCATTTTATGAGATAAGGGAGATGGTTTAACAAGCTAAATGTATAAAAAGAATAACGAATTATCTCAGTGATTGTCCAGGCCACCACAAACAACAGGACACTGTCTTCAGTTTGTACCTGTAAGAGAGAAAAAACCCCCTCTGTATTAATCCAAGCATTACTAACTATTTTCCAGACCCAAGAAAGCTTCAAAAATCAATCCCCACAGGTTGCTTTACCACATCGTTTTAGAGAACAGACTTCAAGAAGGAGCTTAAAAGCAACATTAGTAGCAGTAAAAACCCTTCTTATCATGCTTCATATCTTTCTAGTGGCTTAAGAAACGCTCTGCTTGCTCATCAGATAACTTAAGATCTCTCATTCTATGCAAGGTATATTAGTACAAGAAATCCCTGAAATGCTGAGAAGAACTCATAACTCTCCCCATTGCTATACAGTGCCAGCTTCTATTTTGGTCCTATGACTGCTTCCTAGTGCAGCAAGCAGAGAGAATACTAACATAGTAGCCAAACTCTCAATATCTGGTTTAGACTGTATGTTCTGTTCCTTGTCCATGCTACTTCTGAGGTGAAGCCCTGTTTTCCCCTCTCTACCGATGAGAAACTGGGTCATGATTTTGAGCAGCAGCAAAAGAGCTATCACTAGGACACAGGCTGGAAGGAGAGAAGAAACAAGTTCAGATTGTCTCACCTTAGGTAAGCTTGACAACTACCTGCTTTACTTTTTTTCCTTGCTCCTTTTTCTGCTTAGTGTATCCAGCAAGTTTCTCTAATGGTATACTCAGGGCATTACTACGTTTCACTGCTTTACACCTTTTAGAACTTTTATTTCAGACACACACCATTGGACCAGCTTTTACTCCCTTCATATTTTGAAAGTTAATCTTCAGAGGCATGTATTTTTATAAAAATTACTAGATTTGTTAGATTTGGGAGCATAATTATGAGGTTTAAGTTTCATATGGATAAAGCATATGGGGTCACATATCCACAATACAAACTCCAGAGAGACCAAACACGATTTTTATGCAGCCTTCCCCTTCAACAGAATTCTCAACTGTATGAATACCTTGAGCATAAAGTCAGTGGACTGTGGGAACAAAAAGACCTCAACCACAGGGCCTGTATTTTCCTTTTTCCTCCAATGCTTGAGAAAAGGATAAAGGAAGTCAGTAGGCATGGGTGATACACACTACTCATCTTGGACAAAGTACAAATGAAAAAAGGAACAAGAAAATAGATGGGCAATCAGAAACCTTTAAACAGGGGGAGACTGACCATATATTTGCATGTATAAATGCTCATAAGGCTTATCCGTGAAAAACTTTGATACAGACTACAAAACCCAAAAAGATTTATATAGAGAAATCTTGGGATATCATGGAATGTAGAGCTGCTGTTAATACATAGTCTGCTGTGTATAGCCTTTCAAGTTATTTTCACTGCATTTTGCAGCAAATGCACCTTGCCCTTTTTTTCCTACATGAAACTCCAATAATCTGCTTATATATTAATCTCCTTTACATCATCACAGAATAAAAAAATCCAAAACTTATTTGAAGATTTTCAGAGAAGAGACCAAATCTATTTTTACACTGCTACAGCAGTTTGGGTTCTGCTTTATAAGCAAGACATGTCTCAACCTAGAAAAGTTAACAGTATGATGCTGTTCCCAAGGAGCAAGATGCTTAACAAGCACTCCAGAGCTGCATCTTCTGGTCAAACGAGGAGTAGCAGTTTAGTGAGTTAATCTAAACCTGTGTGTCATGGACTTCAAACTGTACTTCAAAATCTCACTTCTTTCTGTAACTGGATTCAGCAAAACCAGCAAACAAAAATGTGAGGCTTGAAGTAACACTTAAAGTTTGAGGAAAAACAAGAAATGGTGAAGCTAACAGTGAATGACACAGGTAGTAGAAAAATCTGGCAGTTACAATCAAGTTCTATCCCAGGACTCCTGGGGATAGCATAAGCAATACAAAGTAGAGACTTAACAAACCACTAAGTCAAATGATACCCTCAGAATTCAACTTTGCTTCCTCTATTTTTCATGCCAGTCTTTGAAGGAGGTGCTAGACAAAGTCAAAACACATTTTACACTTTATTTACAACTTTTATGTCCAGCTGCCTTAAGGGTCAACCATATCACAGGCATAATTTTTTAACACGTGTTTCAAACCAACTTACAATTAAGGAAGGTCCTGAGTATAATTTAGGTTATAGAATAATAGAATGGTTTATCTTCAATACTATGAATAGCAGACAATGATTGCTAAAATTTAAGAGAATCCATAGCAAAAGATGAGAACAGGAAACTGACAAAAAGAAACCCAAGTTTTTGCTGGTCTCCTTATACACAAAAAGGGAAATACTATAGATTTCTCCAAATGAAAGAGTAACAATTTAAGAAAATATTTGCAGAAAAATTCAGCTAAACATATAATTAGCCAATCCAGTGCAGAAACCAACAGCATTATGCAACCCTGATCATGAAACAGCCCATCTCTCACCACAGCACTGGTTCCCTGGTACATCAATTAAAGAAAAAAAGAAAAAAACACCCTTCACAGCAGGTACAAAGGGTCTGAAAGACATTTGTGTTACAGAGTATTACTCAAATTTTACATAGATGTAAAGCAGTGATGAATCAGGCTTTCAACTGTGCTCACCCAGTCATTCAGAGTTTTGAATTTTCCACCATGAACATAGTTTACTATAACTTAGTCTTAAATATCATAAGATGCTCTTACCTTTTTAAGTATGCTTTGCTACTGATTGAAGGTGTCAATTCACAACTGCAGATACTGGAGTCTTAATTACCAGCTCAATATGCTGTACATGTCTTCACACCAACCCCTCTGACTCTCTGTTCCAGAAAGATTCCTCTAAATATGTTCTGTACTTATCTGCAATTTATGTGTAACTGCACTCAACTGGCTAAGCATTAAATCGCTGCTGACAACATTTTTTAATCACCCATCAGAACTGGGTGTGGAATTATCTGTCAGAACAAAATTCTATGAAGACCTGCCATGATGTCACCAGATGACCTCACTGTTCACACAAATTCAAAATGACAACTTTGAACTGAAGGGCACTTTCTGTCCTGCTTTATCTACCTTCTACTAGACCTTCATGTCAGTCTGCTCATTGTCATCCCTCATTTGTAGGAAAAACAGTAAAATTCACCAAATCAATTCCTTTCCCATGTAATGACAAAACAATTACAAGTCCTGTAAGTCCAAGCCAGGCCCTACTCACAGCTACTCATAGGGAATCTCATTGCTACCCAAAGAAATGTCCAATGCTTTAACATTTGCCATGCTTTAACATTTATTATAAATACTTTTATATTTAATTTAACAACACATGAGCACTCAATTCAACAAAAAAGCACAAACATGTTAGTGGCAAGAAGCATGCTTCAAATCACATCACATATCTAAAAGTGTGTTCTGACAGAAAGGAGGGATGCAATACAGATGCTTCTCCTTTTAATCATATTATATATGAAAACAGTCTGGAAAAGCAAGATACTGAACAAATCTCACTGAAGAAGTTAAAGAGGAAAACTGCATTTTATTTTACAAGAACCTGATCATGCAACTGCATAGCTTACAAGTTCCATAAAGCTGTGTGAGAATTTAATCCTGGACTTCACCATGGAGCTCACTTGTGCAGACAGTCCTTTAGAGAAAGTAGAACACTGGTGACACTTTCAGTACGTCTCCCCAGATAAGAATGCATGCTCTCTGGCTGGGGGGAAGGGGAGCAGTCAGACTACAACCTCCTAATTTGATGTATTTGCTGTAATTCACAGGTGAAAAACTCATCACAGGATTCCTCATCCTTACCAGTCTTATGCCCACTTTCCAAGACAAAAAAAAAGTAACACATAATACAGTCTCCCACAAGACTTTAGCCAAAAGATCACAAAAACATGAGGAAAAAACTGTGTGTAGTATTGTTGAGAGAATCCTTGTTAGGAACTGAATGTTAGGCTGAACTTGTTGCTCCCATCTCCCATTTTACTGGTTTTCTCTAGTGAGAACGTAGGCATAAGTTTTCAAGAACCTAACCCATAATCATATTACAGACTTCCCTTTGATGCCTAACAGACAACACAAGGAATAATTCTAATCTATGCAATCCAATCTTTAACATTTGGGTTACTTCAAAACCAGGAGGCGACTCATAAAAACGTATCATTGCTGTTCTCTATGAAGCAACAGGTGCCCCCAACATCATACAAGTAAAAAATAAAACTACAGGCATATTTCTTTGAAAATATTTTATGTGTATATCTAAAAAGTAATGTCTTGAGATAACAGCTTTTTTTGATTCAAAAGGTAGTACTTATCTCCAGTGAATTAACAGAGACTGGAGCACAATTATTTGCAGTAAAAGTGAAAGCCATACAGAAGACAAGTATTTACAAGACTGACTTCATTGAGAAAAATCACATTCCTCTACTTCAAATAGCAGGAAACTAAGGCTCTACATGAACAAGCATCACAGTATCAGAAAGGGTTATTAATTAGGTGGGACCACAGTGACTTAATTTACTCTACATGTGGATGGATGCTCTGGTCACAGGAGTAAGGAGAAGAAAGCAGTTTCCCTGAAAACTTGGTCATGAGACAAGCTCCTTAAGACATTCTCTATACCAAGTCAGAGAAGATCTTGCACATAAAATGACACTAGATGACCACCACTTACTTCAGGCAGCCATGCTGACACTGACATCAAGACTAATTTTCTTCTTTAATGAGAAGAAAACCAGTAAGATTGGTTGGCTAAAGTAACAGCACAGATGCACCATATCTGAGTTACTATGAAGTATTCAGATGACATGGAAGAGTTAGTCAGCATTATCGGTATCAATTAAAGCATGTTTAGCTTTAAAAATAACTGTCAGGAATAATTTCCAAATAAAATTGCTCCCAAAAGGTTTTGCAGAGATTTGTATGAAGTACAGCAGTATTTGGTGTGGTAAGCAATGAGAAAAAACATGCAGATCCCCAAACCCACCTATGCTTGAATGTAACAAAACTGAATGAAGGACAGAGAGAAGATTACCCTGGAATGTGATCATGGAGAACATCCAGGCTTTGCTGTGCATAAACACTTGAACTGGAGCTTCCACATGCCATGGTAAAGAAAGCAAGTTGTATATGAAAGAGGGAGTAGTGAGGATATTTTGCTATTAATTATGGTATCAGTGAGTCCCAAATTCAGAATATTACACACTGGAACTCTAACTTCCAGTGAAGGACTGCAAAATCTATGCGTGAGCTAGATGTCTTATAGTGATAGAATCAGAACTCAGTCTATTTGAGTGTCAAGAAAAGATGATGTCATATCTATTTTTATTTCTTTTGATCCACAGAAATTCACATGAATAATTGCACATTCAGATACAAACAGAAGTCATTTTAAGGAAAATAAGACAGAGATCAGCACTTGCTTTTCACCATGGGTCATTAGTTTTTCTATCTACTTTGTAGCTTAACTTACCTCTTTTACACTATGTGTTACTGCCCACGTCAGGAAAACCCTTGACATCACTTGGAATGCAGTCAGAACAACAGAAGAGGGAACAATGCCTGGAAGATATGTTGCAATTAGTAACTATCTCTGACTATTGGGGTGGGAGGTGGGAAAATAAAACACAGCTAAGGCAAAGTCCAGCTTTTTAAAAATTTTTGGAAGGAAAGCATTTCATATCTTTTTTTTAATTTGAGAGTATGAAGCCTGTTCTGTGGTGTGTTTATACAGCCTAAAAGCAATCAGTCACACTGCAATCACAGCACATTCCTTAATACACAAAACAGCTCAGTAAGATGAGATAACTTCAATCAAACACCTTTTGGGATACAGTCTTTCAAATAAACCCTGATTGGTTAAAACATCCAAGATACTCTTCGTTACTGTGATTTCAAAATTAAAACCAGTAAAGATATTTTGCACAGTATATCCCCCAAACCAGCAGGTAAGAAGTGAAACTACTTTGAAGAAACACTGATCTAGCCCATATTCTGATAGATACAAACACTGTAATTCCTTCCTGGGAATAAAACTTTTAAACCAAAAGAAAACCCAAGGAATAGCTGATGCATTGGTAGGTACAGAACATTTTAAAGATTTTCTCAAGGAAGCAGATTTCACTGGTTGTTCTAAGCAAGGTCTGGCAGAGCAGGAATAGCTTCAGACTGCAAGATCACACACAATTGCTGAACTTCACAAAGTTTTCTTCCAATGGCATGATGAAGACAAATGGAAAAGCAGTTGCAGCTCCTAATATATAGTAAAAAGGGCTTCTAAAACTAATGCAAATCACAGGGCAGAATTTGTTGCTCAGATAACACAAAAGGGGGTGCTATAAAATCCCACAATCTGTAGTCATTAAAGGCTCACTCCTATGATATAAATGACCTTTTCTTTTATACAATTTAGAACATCCTTTCCTAAGCAAGATAAACTAATGTTATTGCAAAGGAATTTAAAAATAAGCCAAAAAGACCATGTAGAAGATTATCTTCCAAGTAAGACAAATAAGGTTTTTCATTACAGCCAAGAGAAAGCCAATCTATGCCAAAAACAGGAGAACAAAATAAACGAATCACCAGCTACAAACTATGTAAACTTTACTTGCCTCTAATTATTTCCCCATTGCACCAAAAAGGTACCTGATCATTTTAAACTTGGTATTTTTAAAAAGGTCTTGCACCCCTTACCCAACACTGCACAAACTAGAGTGCTGCCTGACAGAGGGCTCAGGTCCAGAGACAACCAGCAAGTAAGCCATGCCCAGACCTCTTCCAGATCTTGGACTAATCCTCCCACCTACAGAGGGAACCCTTCCAACTCTCCACAAGTGTCTTCCCTCTCCCAGGGAGTTCCTGTCTGAGAACAGGTGCATGTACAGCTTATAGGTCAACTCCTTGTATCTCTCCTAACTGGTCAGTCTAAAGCAAAGTCAACCAGTGCCAACTGTGGCTTACCAGAAGGTGGTAGGAAAGCTGGAACTTTAGTGATTCCCTAGGCTTGGCCTGTACTCACCAACGCCTTCCTGGCATTTCTTCTCCACTCCCTTCACAAACTTCCTGTACTACTATTGCTTCTTCATGTGGGTGGCTCCTATCACCTCTTTTCAATACCAAGTTCCTCCAGGCAGAAGCTCTTCCATGATATTAATAAATACTTGGATTCTGTCTGCTACCCAATTCAAGGAATTGCATGTTCACTTTCCATTTACCTGTTCTTCATTCTCTTCTCCTCACCTCAGGGCTACATGTTACCTCCTCTATTTATGAAGTTCACCTTCTTAATTTTTTAAAATATTTGCCACATGCCAAAGTTCTGTTCACAACCATGCCTGATACAGACATGCCCCTATCAATCTTTCAATTTTTAAGAACTTGCATCACAGATGCTAATATTTCAGATTCTACTGAAAAGATACAGAGAGAAATTTATGCTGATACACAAAACCCATCTGTCACTGATAAACTCCTCTACTGACAGAGAATTACAGCTCCAGTTATAGCAATTAGTTTTGCAGGGGCAAAGGAATCTGCCAATTTACCATTTCTCCTTGCATAGAAACTTCTACCAGAGTCTGTAGGACTACAGCAGACAGCAGCAGTGCACCCAGCTGTGCAAAAAAATCTTGTTTTATTTAACTGACAAATTCTTCAATTAACAAGGGAAAAAAATCCATGGACAGTTATAATAAAAATGTGAGTTTTTGGTAAAAAACTTTAAGGAAGGCAAAATATAGAGTTACAATGGTACAAAATGTTGCAGTGTTCTGCTGATGGTTCCCTTCAGTAACATTAAATTGTGTGATCGAGGATAACACAGACTAAATGGATCCGCATCTCAAATCAACCGAGCCAGGATTATTAGCTTTGCACACAGACAGGCTGGCACAGTCATCTTGTTTGCTGTTCTGCACCAGTTTGAAAGGTGAAATACAGGACTCAATCCTGCTATTCTGTGATTTCTGTGGACAAGAGAATCCAATTAATTTTTTACAATCTTTGTCATCTTTAGTACTAATAAACACTGGCATGTGTATACAAGTTTATCTTAAGAAAACAGTAGAGCATTATAGATTTATGATAGTAAAACAGCTCTTTTATTTGAAAGGCTTATTTTTCTCTCCAGTGCTCTGAGACCTAAATTATCCTTCTTGCCACTTGTTAAAGAAGACTTCAAAAATTTCACATTTGGTATTAATTTTTGACAACTGTTTAAAATGTAAGTACAGTTTATTCTGGTAAAAACCCCACAATATTTGAGACTTACTGAAATAAAATAGCGTTGGAAGGACTATCTTGGCAGCACAGGCAACTATATGATACATATAGCTTAATCAGAGAAGCCTTTACATTAATGTGAGTATATGACCATTCATTTCTGGGGATGATCTGTGCACCGTCTACAAACTGTAGGTAACACTTCCAGAGCAAGAACTCTTCAAGAAGGTCAGAACCGCTCCATCAAGTACAGGATTAGATTGCCCTCTGCTGACACATTTAGGTACACATTTTCAAGTTTTGCAGCTAGCACATTTAGTTATTGAAAAAATTGATCTTTTGCCCAGGAATTCAATATGAAACTATTTATACCAGTGATACACCTGCAGTATGCAGATAGATTGTACATATGTGAACAACAGCAGATTTGCAAGTTTAGGAACTTTAATGCCATCTTAGTCTTTAGATAGCAGCTAGCAAACATTCAGATGGGAGCTCAACCCCTATATTTAAAATCACAAGGTCACCTACCTGAATATAAGACTGTCTCTTTGTGAAGACTGGACTGTTTACAAAAACCGGAGTTAAGCAAAGCTCTGCAGACAAGCACTGCTCCCTTTTACAGCACATTGGCTTGGATGCTGCAGAAAGTGCCACACATCATCTGTTCTATGAACAAAGCACCTGTAACACTGAGGCCAAACCATTCCCTGCTCTCATGACTAACAAACCAGACTAGATGCAGTCCTGCCACTCAGACCTGAGACTCTTCACGTTAACTGAACCATGACACTGTCACTGATCCCACGCCACTTACACACAGTTGAGTTCCTGATACCAAGCTAACAAACCTGCCTCACAGCACAAGCCAACATTGCCAACCTGAGTAATTCTGACTCTCCCAAACAGTTCCATTATAGCCAAGCTGAATCTGGAATAAGGAGTTGTTACCCCTTCCTAATTTTACAATGCATATCTATGCTTTATGGATTTGGGCAAAGTTCTACTGCTTGAAATGTTTGGGGGTTTTTCTGGAATCTAAATTACTTCCAGCTAGAATTCCTTTTTTTTTATTATTTTTTTTTGAGGAAGGACAGCTTGGTACAGAAGATTATTGGATGTAGAGCTGGAGAGTAATAATCTAACATAAAACATTTATAAACTGCTCTAAGATTTGTATCATTGGAAATATCTAGACAAAAGTAAAATGTCAAGTTATTGTTACACAATCTTCCTTTTTGTGATTTTAACTTGTCAGGTTGTTTAGTAAAAATTGGAATGTACTTCAAGCAAAAATCAGTGTTATGCAAGAATTAAATCTGGCACTTCACAGACCGTAACATTTTTAATGCCAATATATTGTTAAAACTGCAGTCTCCTTCAAAAACAATAAAACTGAAAATTTGCAGGCTTACCAAATGCACAGTGCAGAATCTAGAACAAAAAGAAAAAAAAGCAAATCACTAACACTTCAATTAAGGAAATTCAAAAATACATTTAGTTCCATTACAAGAGCTTAATGTTCAATATTCCTATTTCAAAGATGATGCTTAACATTCAGCTGTGTTGCCCAAGCTAAACAGCAGGCAGTGAGCTCTCTTCCCACTTGCTAAAAGGAAAAATCCAACATTTGTGAGGCATGTTTTTTATGTTTGCCTTCAAATCACTCTACAAATGCTAATGAAAACCAGGTACCAGGAAAGCCCAAAAAAGTTGCCTTATTTCTCCTGAAGAAAACACTCATGCCAATATTAGTAACTCTAGGGAAGAAGACTACACCTACCTCAAGCAAAGCTCCAGTTTGGAAGAATTTCAAGGGCTTTTCTATAGAATAGTAAAGGCTGTGGTAGCTACCTTTAGCAAGGTATGCTCGAACTAGACCAACTGCAATAACAAGCCATCTGAAAGAGAGAAAAAAGTCCAAGATAAGCAGACATTAAGCAGAGCATAAATACAAATAAACCATGACTCCTTCTTTCGATATCTAAGAAAGCAACAGGTACAGAACTGTCCAGAAGACACTAACTTTTTGCCTACTCTCTGCAACGAGAGTCAGTATTGCTCACACTCTCAGAAATTCTTCAGTGAAGTGTGGGACAAGCCACAAAACTAAGGTGGTTACACTCTGATCAAACACTTTTTCATTTGAAATTAGCATCTACAGTTAACTTTAGTTTCCAATTACTTGTAGCAAACACAGGGAGAAGGGGTCAGTCACTGAGAAGTGGGAATCCTCAGCAGTTGTTTCCAGATTTTTTTCCAGGCTCATCCTGGCTGTCCTGCTACTCTTAATACCACCTGTCTAAGCTGCCCTTAATGCCACCCTGCTTTACTTCTACCTCCCTCCAAACCTAGAGCTGCTGCTACAAAGCTTGTGCTAACAGTCACCAAGTGCCACTGCTAACAACAGTGAGCCTCAGTGGAAGTGTGTGAAGGCATGTAGAAAATAGTTATATTATATATAACTAGGTAATAGCTTTCTACCCTTTGGGAAAAAACTTGCAGCTGTGGTTTTGCAATAGGGAAGATGAAGAAATTATCTTAATTTACAGCATAACAGATGCCTACAAGTATTGCATTAGCTGAGGTATTATGAAGTATATACAAATATTGTCCCAAATGTAAGATTTGTTTGAAATACACTGTGAAGTTTAGATTTTTCATTAATAAGTAACTCTGGCATCCAAGTTTGTGTTTGTAGCAACATTTGTTATTCAACTGAGAAAAAGGTATTTCAGTTCTGCCTGGATTTCTCAGAAGATGAGCATCAAAGAAAAGTGGCAGGAGTAGGGAAGAAAAATGGGCAATGGGAAAGAAGCCTTCTCTTTTGTCAGTAATAACAAGTTATTTCAGATAAAGCTGTCTTGTGAAACCAAAAGACAAGCATGTGCCAAGTAACTGCTTTATACAAAGAAAGAATCAAATTAATTTGGTATTTGGACTCCAGCATAGAATAAACCAGTAAGCACTGTTGTATCACTGGCTCTCACTTGCAACACTGACTGTTTCTCTTTCAGAACAGCAAAGCAGAGCAGGCTGACACTGTCCTGTTTGTATCTGTCAAGTTTCTGTATTTTTCCAAATTTGTCATGTTTTTTGAGAAACCTGGCTGAACTGAGCAACTTCTCAGGTTGCACAAGACACCAGTTCTTGGCTGTACTGGCAAACTGTCCTCACCTGCAGACTGTTCCACCTAACCAAGCGACTGGTGAAATGCGTGGCTCTGAGCAGCTCCAGTCCCTTGCTCATCTCCACCCTCCCTGCTGCATCGCTGACTCCAGAAAAAAGGTACTTTCCATTCCCAAAGGCCACATCTCTCTTTCAAAAATAGAATTACTGTCCTTCAAAAACCATTTAATAGAGATCAAAGCATTTATCCACACAAAATTAAAAGCTGTGCCTACTTCCGTGTTACTTACACACAGTTGAGTTCCTGATACCAAGCTAACAAACCTGCCTCACAGCACAAGCCAACATTGCCAACCTGAGTAATTCTGACTCTCCCAAACAGTTCCATTATAGCCAAGCTGAATCTGGAATAAGGAGTTGTTACCCCTTCCTAATTTTACAATGCATATCTATGCTTTATGGATTTGGGCAAAGTTCTACTGCTTGAAATGTTTGGGGGTTTTTCTGGAATCTAAATTACTTCCAGCTAGAATTCCTTTTTTTTTATTATTTTTTTTTGAGGAAGGACAGCTTGGTACAGAAGATTATTGGATGTAGAGCTGGAGAGTAATAATCTAACATAAAACATTTATAAACTGCTCTAAGATTTGTATCATTGGAAATATCTAGACAAAAGTAAAATGTCAAGTTATTGTTACACAATCTTCCTTTTTGTGATTTTAACTTGTCAGGTTGTTTAGTAAAAATTGGAATGTACTTCAAGCAAAAATCAGTGTTATGCAAGAATTAAATCTGGCACTTCACAGACCGTAACATTTTTAATGCCAATATATTGTTAAAACTGCAGTCTCCTTCAAAAACAATAAAACTGAAAATTTGCAGGCTTACCAAATGCACAGTGCAGAATCTAGAACAAAAAGAAAAAAAAGCAAATCACTAACACTTCAATTAAGGAAATTCAAAAATACATTTAGTTCCATTACAAGAGCTTAATGTTCAATATTCCTATTTCAAAGATGATGCTTAACATTCAGCTGTGTTGCCCAAGCTAAACAGCAGGCAGTGAGCTCTCTTCCCACTTGCTAAAAGGAAAAATCCAACATTTGTGAGGCATGTTTTTTATGTTTGCCTTCAAATCACTCTACAAATGCTAATGAAAACCAGGTACCAGGAAAGCCCAAAAAAGTTGCCTTATTTCTCCTGAAGAAAACACTCATGCCAATATTAGTAACTCTAGGGAAGAAGACTACACCTACCTCAAGCAAAGCTCCAGTTTGGAAGAATTTCAAGGGCTTTTCTATAGAATAGTAAAGGCTGTGGTAGCTACCTTTAGCAAGGTATGCTCGAACTAGACCAACTGCAATAACAAGCCATCTGAAAGAGAGAAAAAAGTCCAAGATAAGCAGACATTAAGCAGAGCATAAATACAAATAAACCATGACTCCTTCTTTCGATATCTAAGAAAGCAACAGGTACAGAACTGTCCAGAAGACACTAACTTTTTGCCTACTCTCTGCAACGAGAGTCAGTATTGCTCACACTCTCAGAAATTCTTCAGTGAAGTGTGGGACAAGCCACAAAACTAAGGTGGTTACACTCTGATCAAACACTTTTTCATTTGAAATTAGCATCTACAGTTAACTTTAGTTTCCAATTACTTGTAGCAAACACAGGGAGAAGGGGTCAGTCACTGAGAAGTGGGAATCCTCAGCAGTTGTTTCCAGATTTTTTTCCAGGCTCATCCTGGCTGTCCTGCTACTCTTAATACCACCTGTCTAAGCTGCCCTTAATGCCACCCTGCTTTACTTCTACCTCCCTCCAAACCTAGAGCTGCTGCTACAAAGCTTGTGCTAACAGTCACCAAGTGCCACTGCTAACAACAGTGAGCCTCAGTGGAAGTGTGTGAAGGCATGTAGAAAATAGTTATATTATATATAACTAGGTAATAGCTTTCTACCCTTTGGGAAAAAACTTGCAGCTGTGGTTTTGCAATAGGGAAGATGAAGAAATTATCTTAATTTACAGCATAACAGATGCCTACAAGTATTGCATTAGCTGAGGTATTATGAAGTATATACAAATATTGTCCCAAATGTAAGATTTGTTTGAAATACACTGTGAAGTTTAGATTTTTCATTAATAAGTAACTCTGGCATCCAAGTTTGTGTTTGTAGCAACATTTGTTATTCAACTGAGAAAAAGGTATTTCAGTTCTGCCTGGATTTCTCAGAAGATGAGCATCAAAGAAAAGTGGCAGGAGTAGGGAAGAAAAATGGGCAATGGGAAAGAAGCCTTCTCTTTTGTCAGTAATAACAAGTTATTTCAGATAAAGCTGTCTTGTGAAACCAAAAGACAAGCATGTGCCAAGTAACTGCTTTATACAAAGAAAGAATCAAATTAATTTGGTATTTGGACTCCAGCATAGAATAAACCAGTAAGCACTGTTGTATCACTGGCTCTCACTTGCAACACTGACTGTTTCTCTTTCAGAACAGCAAAGCAGAGCAGGCTGACACTGTCCTGTTTGTATCTGTCAAGTTTCTGTATTTTTCCAAATTTGTCATGTTTTTTGAGAAACCTGGCTGAACTGAGCAACTTCTCAGGTTGCACAAGACACCAGTTCTTGGCTGTACTGGCAAACTGTCCTCACCTGCAGACTGTTCCACCTAACCAAGCGACTGGTGAAATGCGTGGCTCTGAGCAGCTCCAGTCCCTTGCTCATCTCCACCCTCCCTGCTGCATCGCTGACTCCAGAAAAAAGGTACTTTCCATTCCCAAAGGCCACATCTCTCTTTCAAAAATAGAATTACTGTCCTTCAAAAACCATTTAATAGAGATCAAAGCATTTATCCACACAAAATTAAAAGCTGTGCCTACTTCCGTGTTGAAGCTTTGAGTACCTCTGTCCTGCTTCTCTGACCCTTAAACAGTTCAACCTCCATGACTAAATAGGACTAGATGAAAGTGGGAAGATCAACTGAAAAATAAATTTGTTGAGAAGTTTAAAAGGGCAGCAAATGGCACCATGGTCACATGGAAGCTAAGCTATAAGTTAGTTTTCCCAGCTTGCTCTGACCTAGACACTGAAGTCTACCTAACTTACTAGCTGCAGTTACACTCCCTTAAATTACTGCATGTAAAGCTTTAAGCTAAACCCTCCCGCTCTTTGATTAATCCAAACTAAGGAAAATAAACACTGCACATTCACAATTTAATTACTGTTTTACTTTCAGTTGCCCAGACTTGATAAGCAAGTTTCATGCTCAGGTCCTCAGTTTCATTCCCTTTATTGCTCTTACAAATGATAAAAAGGTGTTTCCTCATGCAAAGTTTACTGAGGTTCTGCATGGTTTATGCAAGAGAATCATGTAAAGCTACGAAGTGAATGAACCTGAAAAGGGAGAAAGTGCACTTTGCCGCTCAACAACCAGTCACTGAAGAGATGGACAACAAAACTTGCAACCCAGAACACCCTTTGCTCAACACTGATAACATGAACACTTGCGAATTCAAAAGCTATTACATTAACAACTATCCTGTTGAGTGAAACCCTTTTGAAATTCGTTGTTCATACCACCATCAGCTACTTCTTACCACAAGTACTAGTCAGTTACGGCACCTGACTAAAATAAGAAACATAATCACATTTTAAAGCAGCTTATAAAACATTTACACTCAAGTCTAGCAGCATGCCCTCCTTCCATTCTCCCACTCCCCATTATTCACTGATTTCAGTCAACCATGATTTTTAAGAAATCATTTCTATGCTGCAACTATGTCTCCAGAACGAGGTTCCTATGCCAGGTCAGGCATCACTACATGACTTCACAATGGGAAAGTAAGTTTGAAGAACGCAACAGAAGAAAGATGCTACAGCTTTGAATCATGGTCATAAAAAAGTGAACAAGTACAGCCGAGAAACAAGTGCAGGACTGGTTATTCCCTATTGTGTCATGTTGCTCCCTTTTCTGAAAGAAAACACCCAAACATTAATCAAATAGTAAGTGTATGCAGCTTTATTTAGGAATCCACAGATATTTTTTTTTTCTACTGTTTTGCTCCTGCAAAAGCCATTGTATTACTATAAATCCATATACTGTGTGCACTACATAATAAAATTAGAAACAAGTTCTATTACTTTTAGAATCAATGTTTTCTTTAGCTATGTCAAGATAACTGCAAAGTAAATACAATTATGCTGAGATTTTTCAATTGTTATTGGATCAATTTTAAACACAGCTATTAGCTAAGGCAACTATGATTTTAAAACATTTACTCTGCTAACTGGTTTTTGCATGACAAAGCTGTTTTGTGCTTCAGTTTAAAAGCCACCTTTTTGTAAAAGAAAATTCCAAAACCCACTTTAAAAAAAAAATAAAAAAATAAATCCCACGTGCTTTTACAGCATCACTTCATCATCTGGGCACCTTCACATCTTTGGCATTTTCCTCTCACAATTCTTTTTCCAAAGCAATGCTGAGAAATTAGGTCTGAGCACTCGGATTGACACAGCAGTAACCAATTACTGCCAACAGGTTGGATCAATCGTTCCATATGAACAACTGAGCTTCTGCCAACCAACTCCTGAAAAACTAATTACAAAGTCTTTTAAAAAGAAGAAAATAACTAATAGAGGTTGGCTTTGGTCTTGTTTGTTTGTTGTTTTTTTCTTCCTAAGCTCAACATTGTATATAGTGCAATTTCAGCAGTGTCCAGGGAAGCACAAAATCCTCACCCATTGGAAGACAAGTTAACAGAGCCCTCAGTGACCTACCCCAAAAAATGGCAGTGGCAGTGAAGAGATCTGAACCCTGATCACAGGACTCCTACAGCAGCTCCTCAAATTGCAGATATCATCTAACTACAAACATGCCCAGAAAAAAAGCAGCCCATGTTAAAGCACTATAAGCCACATCCCACCCAAAACTGGAACTCTCTTGGAGATTTAGTATAAATCAGGAAAGCAGGTAACATCATGGTCAGTGATTTACCTGACAATGGAAAGCTAAATACAGATGTATGCCATTTATTTCTGAGTTTCTAACACTTGGATGTGTTTTTTCTTCTGAGGAAATGGAAACTTCATATGCTCAGGAACCTGCCTGCCATGATAAAAGGTTCAGGACATTTAAAGCAACTTTCCATTTATACTGCAATTTCTCTCTCAGGTTTTTGAGATATTGTATAAACGTGAATTAAATGTGAGCAGCGCAATGACCAGGGAAATGCTTTTACTTTGAAGAAGAGCTCAGAGAGGTTAGCTTCTTCACATTGCCCAAGGACACCACAACTAAACTGAGCAAACATCCTGACAACTTGCACTGTGTTGTACTGCTCATGAAATTAGTATTTCTGAAACAAGAGCTTCTTTTTTATCAAACTGGTGGGTAATTATCATTCCCCTCTGAGTGAAATACCCTGCAAATCTCTCATGGAGCTGTAAATCTGCTTAGCAGTTCCACTTCTCAGTAACACACCTGTTAGGTAATGGATGAAACAAGCACCTTACAAGAACCGAGCTCTCCCCTCAGCTACCTTTGTTCCATGTAACTATCTTATAAGCTGCAACAGCACCAGCTGCCACCAGCAAAGACAAGAATCACCATGTCCAATTGACTTGCTGCAATAAATCATACCTGTTAGTTCTATACTCATCTTCCCCCAAAACAGTGGAACTGGTCTGTTTGCCTAACTCCTCACCTGCCAGGATCTAACGGATAAATACGATAACAGGCTCATTCAGGATCCATTTTAAAGGCTCTTTTTTCCTCCCTCCCCAATATCCTCAGTCTTGCAAAATATTTTTATCTTGATTCCAATAAGACACTATAGCCTCGTAAAAAAAAAAAAAGTTAAAAAGTCTCCTTTATGTGAATTTGAGAAGCCCTGGTTATTTCTATTTTCACACCCAAAAACACCCCAACCAGCCCATCTCCATTTTGCTACGCAGGACGAGAGCAGAGCACCAAGCAGGGTTAGGAGCTCAAGTGGCACAAGCAGCAGCTTTCGGCTTCACCCCAAGCACACAGCAGCTGCAGGGTTCATGGGGAAACCTCACGGGGCTCTACAGGTAACAGCTTTGCCTCCTGAACCATTGCTACAGATGAATTCCCCGTGTTTAGGTTCACCTCTGCTGAGAGGCGCTGGAGCCAACACCCCAGCGGAGGTGAGCACAGTGACCTACCCAGTCAGCACAGAGCAAATTCAGGTGTCAATCATGAAACACAGCAGTTTCCAGAGAGCATGTACTTGTGCTGCTCTGCTCGGTCGGTTTCGGAAGGGGTGTGTGGAAGAGGACCGGCCACAGGGTGGGCTCACACCCGGGAGCTGCAGCCGTCCCGGGACAGCGCCGGGGGAACGAACCTTCATCCTGGTCGTGCTCAGAGCGTGCAGAGGCGGATGGAGGGAACCGAGGAAGCATCAAAGCAGCTTTATAGACACGCAGGAGAACCACCCCACACACACACACCGCTGCAGCGTGAGAAGCCACAGGAGAGTTCTGGCTGTAGCTTTTCAGCGTCACCCGGAGCGCGACCCCCGCCACCTCGGG